TGTCAGAGAGCTTCCAGCTTCTCTGCTGAAGGGTTCTTGTTGGCTTTTTTTCAGCAGAGCTGTTAAAGAAAAAGCACCAGCAGTTATTTGCGGAGCAGAAGAAGAGCTGAACTAAAACTGAACTGAAACTGAATGAAAACTAAACTAAAACATGAACTATAACCTGAACTGAAACTGAACTAAACTGATCTAAAACATCAGCAGCTGTCAGTGAAACCCAGAAACTCACCGTCAGCTACAACCAGCTCGACATCTGTGTGTGAAGCTCTGCCCACAGCACAGCGGTAGCGTCCTGAGTCGGACCGGGTCAGACCTGATATGCTCACAGACAGAACCTGCTCACTGTAATGAATCCTGTATCGTCCATGTTCAGTTATTTCACTCTCTGATTCAATAAGTTTGTACCCTCCATCACAGTTTTCTCTGGGGGGAACTTCACCTCCCTCCTTCCAGATGTGGAGAAGCTGCACTTCATGGTGACGTCACCTCCAACGTATCCATAGAAAAGCTCCAGTCCATGAGCAGAAGAGCTGTTTGCTGCCTGCAGAGCTGCAGAAAAGACGAAGCGTCAGCAATTTATCTTTGAGTCTCCTGAGGGGTGCTGCAGTCTGATCCCAACATGCTGCTTCACATACACACACAGAGGCTGGCAGCTCTCTGTGGTCCAGGCTGGGACCTGCAGCCGCTCTCAGACCAGGAGGAGGCCAAGACAGCTGTTGAGGACACTTAATGGCTTTGGGCTTTGGAAGAAGTGGAAGCTGAGGGCCTGCACATCAGCCTGAAGGAGAAGCAGCCATGCAGGACCCTGGATCCTCTCAGGCCAACAGGATGCTGCCCCAAACACACACTTTTCATGACCATGTTGCAGTTTTACTGCAGGGGGCTTCACAATAACTCAAGTCTCATTTAACACACAACAAAAGGCTCCAATTGGCTGGATTAGTAGGACATAAAAACACAGTGGAGAAAAAACTGGATCCTAACTACCACATAAACCCACAAAGCCTGAAAACGCAGGCTGCTCCCCATCATAATGCACGAGAGTAACAAGAAAAGCTGCAGCTTACAGGGTTTGGAACTATGACAGAGTCACATCTCTGCTGTGACCCAAAGAGGAAGCTGCTGTTGTGCTCACACCACAGAAGGATGAAACACAAGAGGAAGAAGGAGGGAAATGACCAGAAAAGGAGGAGGAAGCACAAAAAGAGGAACCAAACCCAGTCAAACAGGAAACTCTGAGCAAGAAACTACTCACAGGAAGAAGAAGAAACCCACAGGTAGTCAAACAGCCCAAAACCCTCAGCACGGATTCACACACAACAAAAGGCTCCAATGGGCTGGATTACTAGAAGAGAAAACCACAGTGGAGGAACAACTGGATCCCAAAAACAACAAAAACCTACAAAGATCCAGAAAAGCCTGAAAATGCACAAAGAGACTCCAGGAAGAAGAATGTATTCTGATCACATGAATGGGTTCGACCAGTTCAACCATTCTGTGTCCTGAGCAGCTGGTGCTGCAGAGACCCAGTCTGGCTGACTGAGACAGAAATGCTTTCTACCCAATCTCAAGGGTTGGGTAGCAAGCAAGGCTTAACAAATATAGGGCCTCCCCTTCTGCCAGGGGTGGCAGCCTACCGGCCCCACCATGCCCAGGCCCTTGCTGAAAAAGAAAATCTGTCTGGCACAACTATGGCAGTCAGAAATTCATTCTACTTGCCGTGATGCTGAACAGGACAAGGGAAAAAAACTGAAGAAAGAAATGCTGAGCGCTTTCTGAAAAGGGGTCATTGCTTTGTGGTTTTTGTGGTGAGGTCTGAAAAGGCATCGATACAGATACTACATGCAGACATACATGCTGTCGTTCTGAGCCGGCCGCTGGTTTTCAGGAAGTGGCAAACATCCGTTCCTGACTTGCTTCTGACAGCACAGTCAAAAGTCCAAACGCAGGCTGAGGCTTGGTTCTGCTCAGGAGCCTCAGAGAGATTACTGAGAGCACTAATGAAGCAGTCTGAGGAGCAGCTGATTCCACAGCCCTGCTCAGAGGAAGACCACTTTTAGAGCTGAGCCCCTGAAAGCACTGCGAGTGGCTCTGGTGGTCCTGTTTGAGCCTGTGGACCAACAGACGCTGACACTGAGAGGCAGGAGGGAAACGAATGTACTCACAGAGGAAGAAGAGGCAGAGCAGAGTGTGATGGACGCTCATGTTGGGGCTCTGCTGTTTGGCTGCTGCCTCTCTTCCCTCTTCACTCCTCTAAGGGAAGGAGCTCCTCCTCCAAAGAGGGCCGACGGCGCTCCTCCCCTCCAGCAGCCTGCAGGGGGCTGCAGACTCTTTCTGGATCCCTTTCTGGTCCCGCTGCTCAGCACATTTGCTGTGTGGGGCTAAATGTCCCCCTGACTGGCAGCAGGGCTCCTGCATCAGGAAGCAGGCGTCTCAGAGGGGCTCCTTCAGGTGCAGCTGGGAGTTTCCAGCCTCACTTTTTATGGGGTGCAGCAGCTGGGGCTCAGAATGAGTAAAAGCAGAAGCTGCTGCATCGGTTTACCATGAAAGGACATCAGAGGGTGTGAGCTGCATGGCTGTGGTTAGCAGAAAGCCCTTAGAGCTTCCTCTGATCTGTAGATAAACTAAAATGTCACTCAGCTCAGCTAAACCAAAGCGATGAGTAATTCAGCCCGGCGGCTTCAGCAGAAAGCTCTCACAGCCCCCAGAAAACATCCTGTGGCCCCTTTAATCCTCTGAAAGGCTTTTTTCCTCACTGTTTACTTTTATATCGCATCTAATATGAAATGATATACATTCTTTTTGCATAAAATAATGTTAAGAAAACCAACAAACAGCAGATTTCTGTAAAGTTAAGCAAAATTATTCATATTAAATGTTAATTTACCATCTAAATGGGTCATTTTAAAACGTAAAATGTTTGTATTCAAACATTAAAATAAAACATAAATATTTAAATATACATTTGATCCATCCATCCATTATCAGTACCGCTTATTCCCTCATGGGGTCGCGGGGGGAACTGGAGCCTATCCCAGTGGTCAACGGGCGAGAGGCAGGGTACACCCTGGACAGTCCGCCAGTCCATCCCAGGGCCACACACAGGACACACAAGGACAAACAACCACTCACACTCACATTCACTCCTAAGGGCAATTTCCACAATCTCCAATCAGCCTAACATGCAGGTTTTTGGACTGTGGGAGGAAGCCGGAGAACCCGGAGAGAACCCACGCAGACACAGGGAGAACATGCAAACTCCACCCAGAAAGGTCCTGGTTCCCCCGGGATTCGAACCCAGAACCCTCTTGCTGGGAGGCGACAGTGCTAACCACCACACCACCGTGCCGCCCTATACATTTGATGTTATCTGAAATTAACGAGTAACTCTTGCAATTGTAAGCCAAATAGTTTTTCAACTGTTTTTTTAAAACATTTTTTGAAAGATGAATCTATACTGTTATAATTATAATTTAAACTATTATACAACTTTTTTCAATAAAATAATGTCATTAAAACTAACTAATAAAAGCACATTTCTGTAAATTAAAGCATCATTATTCGTAATACAATATTTACTTAAAATATTTAGGGTATAATAATACAACTTTTTCACAGCCTTTCCTCTTTGTATTCTAGAGGCTGTGGGCATCCTTAAAGCTGCACATTTGCTGCCACCTGCTGGACTTTACTTCCTTCTAATATCCTTCAGTTATCATCTTTCACTCAATCCAGCCGAGATCAGGAATCTCATAAGGATTCTTCTGCCTTCCTTACATTTACACATTACACCACATTCTTTAAGCTACAGTCACACAGCCTGATGTTTTCCTGTTATATTAAGTGTATTCATCAGTTTACTGTGTCCTGTTCTCATCCTGCTCATGACAACTTGCTCTGTTCATTAGTTTATATAAATGCCTCCCTTTATCCTGTTCCTTCCAATGTCGACTCTACTGCTTGTATAATTCTTTACACATTAAACTTTTCTCCTCTTTTTTACCATTACTTTTCTCAAATCTATTATTTTAATATTTTATCTCTTTTTCTTTTTACTTTATTTATTTCCCTGTGTTATGGTCATATTATCATTGTTAATGTTGGGGTTGCTGTTTGGGGACTTCTTTGTACAAATCAAAACCCAATAGGAATATCTGAATATGAAAAAAGTAACATTTAATTAGTTGAAAATGTTACAAAACTTTTGCCCTCCGCTTTTGATCAAGTTTCCATACAATGTTTCCTGATGTCTTTATGCTATCCTGCTTTTACTTTTTTTTTGTCAAAGTATATTTGTTGAGCCTTTTTCTTTTTTTAATCCGAAACAAGACAGCAAACCCTAAGTAAATAATTCAAGGAAAGAAAAAAAAACATTATCCAGGTGGCAGCACAGCCACACACAGAATGGTCAGCCTCTGCTGGACCCACCAAGTCCTGAGAAGGCCGCCGTCAGCCCACAGTGGACCAGGCTGAAAGAAGCCCTTTAACTCATGTGAAAGCCGATGATAAACGCTATAAACTCATATTTTAGGCTTTCGTTGATATGAGCGGGTGGAAAAAAGGGAGAAAGCCAATCAGTCTGTTATTGGAAGTGATGATGACTAACGTGGCATCAGCATTCCATTGTCTGCATCTCTCCCTGAAACACTCCTGCAGCTTCCAGCAGCTTAACAGGACAGAAGCAGCACACAGAGGGCAAAAAGAGAAAAACTAAGTGACAGAATTCGGTACTAAATATAATATACTCTCTAAAATCAACCTTAACACATCAGAATATGGAAAAAATAGCAAAAAAGAATTCAACTCCATAGGCTCTAGTCCTCCATTTGGGAATAAACGGTGCAGAAAATGAATGGATGGATAAAACTCCTAACAAAATATAGAAGTGAAAGTGAGCAGCAACATCAAATTAGATCAGATTGTTACTGCACTGTGATAACAGACTGAGTTCTTGCACAAGATAAATAATTAGCAATCACACAGTTTAGCATTATAGTTTTTACAATAGAAGAAAAAAGAGAGACAAGCAGGTATAGAGGTCAAGATCTTGAACATCCTGATGGCCTGCAGGACAAAGGAGCTCTTCAGTCTGTTATCTGACATGTGGGGAGCAGCAGCCTCTCCCTGAACAGGCTCCTCAGTCATTTGGAGGAATGCATAGGAATAAGATAAAAATAACTCTTATAAGATGGGTATCTCGGGCGGCACGGTGGTGTGGTGGTTAGCACTGTCGCCTCCCAGCAAGAGGGTTCTGGGTTCGAATCCCGGGGGAACCAGGGCCCTTCTGGGTGGAGTTTGCATGTTCTCCCTGTGTCTGCGTGGGTTCTCTCCGGGTTCTCCGGCTTCCTCCCACAGTCCAAAAACCTGCATGTTAGGCTGATTGGAGATTGTGGAAATTGCCCTTAGGAGTGAATGTGAGTGTGAGTGGTTGTTTGTCCTTGTATGTCCTGTGTGTGGCCCTGTGATGGACTGGTGGACTGTCCAGGGTGTACCCTGCCTCTCGCCCGTTGACCACTGGGATAGGCTCCAGTTCCCCCGCGACCCCAACAGGGAATAAGCGGTATTGATAATGGATGGATGGATGGATATGTATGTGTGTGTGTGTGTGTATCCTTCCACAAATCTTTTCAATAGTATTGAATAGAGGCTGTAACAATTCAACTATAAGGAAACGTGAAACTGCTCTTTCTAGGGCCCTAAGAAAACTCACAAATGAAAGGCATGATGACTGGGATCAGTATTTAGATGACACGTTATTTTCTCTGAGGTCCAAAGTGCACACAACCACAAAGTACTCGCCCTTCTTCCTAATGTATGGAAGAGAGGCTTGGTTCCCCTCCGAAGTTCCTGTTTCAATGCCGGTAAGGTTCTGCCTGTCCTAAGTTTGGAGTAATATTTTGTGGATGTTCCTGTGTGTTAATGTAATAAAGGGGTGGTATTATTTATTTATTTTTAGCTTTATATTATACTATAATGTTGTTACCTCATCAAAAACATGCCAGGAGTGTTTCTTCAATCCATTCATGCATGTTTGAGGAATTCATTCATTTCTATTTGCAGCAGTGAGGTGTGCCCTCTCGCATGCTCATATAATGCAACTTCAAATTTTCTCAACAGAAGGAAGCTTAATATAGGATAAAAATGTACTTGATTGTCCCAAAAATCTGTTATATTCTATTGCAAAGCTCAGTTTCAGCTATCATGCAAAGTCAAGTTACCTTTAAGCTATTATTGACATAATTTTATATGTACTGAAGATAACTAGTGGATTGTACATTAAATGGCACTATGCTAGGACACTACATCGTACCACCCCTTGAGGATATATTGCATATTTTTTGGCTACCAAGTTTTAATAATTCCAAACATTTGGAAGCAATGGTTTTAATGTAAGTGTGTCTTTGCTTTTACAATATAACTGTCTTCAGTTGTCCTTCCAACAGAATACCGCCAGTTTGTGAGAGAGAGAGAGGACTTAGAGGGTGAGATACACAGAAAAGTAAAACAAAACGTGGACCTGGTTCAGAAAAAGATGAGGAATCTTTTTCTAAAATGGCAAGCAAAAAATACAAAAACTTTGAATTCAAGGAAGGGGATGAGGTTCTCTTGTACAATGCCCGAAAGAGAAGGAGGAAAGGGGCAGGATGGAGCCTGACTACTCTGGACCACATGTCATCCAGGAACTTGTAGGGAAGAAAGCTGTGTTGATGACAGCAAAAGGAAACATCCTAAAAACAAAACATAGTGTCAGTCACTTAAAGCCCTACAAAAGAGGCAGTGAGCAGAAAATCCAGATGGTTCTGCAATGGGAGTTGAGGTGCAAGAGAGGGAGTCTGTAATCAGATACACTGGTAAAACAGAAGTACTGACAGAGACTGAAGACCAGGAGTGGCAATGTAGTATTCAACACAGAATACCAAAAAATGCATTCACCACACAGTCCTGTGGAAGAGTTGGAGCTGATGGTCACAGAGAACCGACCCACAGACGAGCTTCTCAAAGTCAAGTTACGAAAGCTGAACTTTACCTGTACCTATGTATGAAAGCTGAACTTCACCTGCACCTAACCTTTGGCTGACAATGACTTCTGTTCACTATGACTGATGCTAGCTACATTACGGTGTGTCTATAATTTGTGTTTTATAGATGGGAGATCTACGAAGCTTGTGTGGTCAGTGTGGTGTGGACCCCCGAGGTTCACGAATGGACATTGTAAGCAGGCTTCAGCAAGAAATGAAGAACAGAGACAGCTATGACAAGGTCTTCTCTCAGCTTTGGGGAGCTTCAGGTATCTACAACTTTCTGGGAAATAAGTGGATTTACATGCACACTACTTACACTTTTTATCCGTTGCTTTATGTTTTAGGGCCATTTTATGACACCGATAATAACATTAAGACATTCTCTCTGTGTGCAAATTTGATTAACCTATACAAAGTTTTTTCGCTTTTATTGTTTCCTCCTGTCTTATTGGCCTTCTCATAGGTGGATGGGCAGTAGTAACCTGCCCTTGTGCTGTGGTCTATGCCGTAAAATTCAATATCAGAGCTGAAAGTCCACGTGATTATGCCGACATTCTTCTGTCCTTCAAACACTGTCCAAACATCACATTGTATGATTTTGCCCGTGGTTTGGCAACTCACACCAACCAAAGAGTGCCAGAAACTTTTAGGCCGCATGGTAGCAGGTTGTGTGAACCCACTGACGGCAATATTGCACAGGCAGCTGAAGGTGAACTGAAAGTAAACTTTCCATGGTTAAAACACAAACAGAAGGTGCCAGACCCAGATGGACATCCTCTCACTGGATCATCTGCTCATTACGCCTTGTATGATCGTTTTCATGAGGACAACACAAAGGATAAGCGTGATGTCGAAAAATGGAACTTTCTCCAGAGATCTGTGGCCGGGTCAACAGTCAGACAGCCGAACAGCTGTTTTCAGGGATGAGGCGAAATAATCATTTTCTCAACATGATGACGCCATCCTCTCATGTGTTCCTAATGCGGAACATTCTACATCACTACAACTGCCTCAAAAATGCTGCTGTTATGGACAACTTGAAGAAGTCACTTGGCCAGGAAGTAACACTAAATTCTTATGGTCAAGCAGTGTTAGGTATGTATATGAAGTCATAGAAATTATTCTTTAAATATATGAATAATACTGTGCATGTGCAATATCCTCAAGAGGAGGCTGTTTGTCGGCGTTACTGTTGTTGGGGGTGCCATCACCACCTTAAAAGTGGTGGAGGCCCCCCAGGATTGTTAGTGTTTTTGATTTAATAAATTTTACAAATGTTCAACCTTTGTCCCTGATTTTATTTGATATTAAATGTTAACTGTTTATAGTTTTATCCCTTTCACACTTCACTTAAAAAAATCCAGCCGTTTTTTAAATATGGCAGTTTTAAAATCATTGACATTTCTTCTTACAAAACAAAAGATATGATTTTGGATCTTTGGGTGTTTTTTATTTCTACACGTACACAAAAGCACAGTAATAACGCATGTGATGATGATATTTGCCTTAATTTAGATATTATTCAAGTATTAAAATGATGTTCAATCTCAAATGTCTTTTTTTCAGATCAGCCGGTGTCTCCCCCTCTCCAAAACAAACTAGTTCTGCTGCCTCGGCCCCTATTGGTCGACCCAGTCACGTGATTCCTCGTTTGTTGCTAGGCTGGGTCAAAGTCAAAGATGTCTGCCAGGAGGCCTTCGCAACCCAAGTCAAGTACGCTGTTGCTTTAACCAATCAGATTTCAAGTAGAAGGCCTTACTGTATTCACTCCGCTGATTGGATGGTCAAGGAAGGGGACCTTGTCCGCCAGTCCCTGCGATGGACTGGCGGACTGTCCAGGGTGTACCCTGCCTCTCGCCCGTTGACCACTGGGATAGGCTCCAGTTCCCCCCGCGACCCCATGAGGGAATAAGCGGTATTGCTAATGGATGGATGGATGGATGATTGGATGGTCAGATACCGGCCAACTTTATCAAACTATAAATAGACTACGCTATTTTATGATTTCTTGTGCGATTTACTGATTTGGTGTGCGTTTGCTCGTTTTGCTCTGAGGTTTTCCATTCAAGGCCATTGTACAACGGACTTTTCAGAAAAGTAAGTGAGTAAAATTTTGCTATTTTCCTAAATAATATTTCGAGTTTATGAGGATTTTATTGATGTTCTTTTTTTTGGGGGGGGGGACTTGATTAATGTTGGCGTGTTATTATTAGCGATTAGCCGCAGCCAGCAATTCCAGGCTAAAACGTCACGTTTATGATCATAAACAACGTAAATAAATAAATAAAATAAATCAGAGAGCGTCGGCAGGTCAGCGGGGGGCGGCGTAGGTGGT